GCCTAATTTAAGATCACCAGTTTTTACACATTGAGGATGATTGCTAGTCCCAAGCATCGTCTATTGGTTCTCTGTGTAATTACAGCTGATCTGGCAATAACAGAGTAGCAACCGTGGGCGGTCAATCAAGCTCAAGCTCAAGCTCAAGCTCCTAATCTGACCTTGATACGTAACCTCAGTTGATTTTGCTACTAGGTGAGCGATGGTGTTGTTGGTGGCTGGTGCTGACGGTCGCTGATGAAGTACGGTCGGGTGATCGATCAACGTAGGTGTTCGCGGCGCTGCCCACAGCCTTGCTACCGAGTTTGCTTTCGGCCGGATGGCCGATTGATAGATAGTGGCTAGTCCACTTACTGTGCGACTGGAGTGCAGTCGGGCGACCCATCGATGATAATGGCCACAGCCTTGCTGCCGAGCTTACTTTCGATCGATGGATAGCGGCAGGCCACTTACCGGATAAGACCGCGACCGAATTGTCGATCGTCGGAAATGCCCACTGCCTTACTGTCAAATTGGCCGTTAGATAAACGATGGCATCGGTTGCCGATAACGCGTGCCTTCACACTTTACACTGCACAGCGGATTGGTCTGCAGCGGGCTAGCGCGATGGTGCCGGTAAAGCTTCGCGACCGTAGTCGCGTGTTGTTCGGCGAACAATGGCTCGTAGGACAGGCGGACGACGAAAGCTCGCCGGAAGGGTCACACTACGACTACGTAGGCTTTGACCTGTCCGGAATAAAAATCTTTGTTCAAAGGTTCTGGCCTCACTACACTTATCTGATGGTAGTAGCACAAGCTCGCAGGCTTGGACCACTGTTTAGCATCGAAAGGCCTAATCACCGTGAATATATTCACCACTAAGCTACCACCAGTCTATAAGCCAACCTGTTTTAGGTTGTTCTAACACACTTTTCTTTAGCAATATTAACTAGTGGAAATGTTAACTTCGGCAATACCTTAACCTATTATCGCCAGGGGGATAAGCAAAGTCCTAGAGCGCTCAAATTTGGCCAATAGATGCTCTGAAACACAATGTATCCACATGCCAAAATTGAGCTCTCAAGGACGTTGTTTACCCCCTGACGATAATAGGTTAAGGTATTGCCGAAGCCAACATTTCCCCTATTATCAATGCCTGATATTCGTCTCACTACTTTAAACGTCGATTTGCGAATGACCTAATCTTCGAGTGCGAGATTTCCAGTAGTCCTCAGTGGAATCACGCGATATTGCGCCAACATGTGTCACTTCCTGATTGGCTAAGTCGGATTATCAATTCGATAGAATTTCTAGAATTTGAGAAAAGTTTTTCTGTGCTCAAGAGAGCGACGAACGTTTCTGTCTGGGCTAGAAAAAGCAGTAACGTATGGTAACGCACAAGTTAGTGGTGGCTGAATTAAAAAGCGTTTCAAGTTGGCTCTCGAAACCCTGCCAACGCTTCGCTACGCGACCGGTATAGCTTGACAAGACTCCCCCTAAAATTACGTAATGCTATCTCACTCATCCCCCCCCCCTGGTTTCAGTTTCATTTTCATTGGTATTCCGTAAAATTTATCATTAACCACCCTATGTAACAATAAGTAACGCAAGCTCGATCCCCTCCTCCCTCCATGCGTTACGTTATAGGGTGTCCCAGAAAGTATAAGCACACTTTCAACTTGCCGTCATTTCTACCCCGATGAAGTTTATCAGCTGTTCATCAATGTGTGTTACTGTTTACTTATCAACAAGTTTATGTGCGCAAAGTGCTTTTTTTTTACAAAATAATCAAAATGCGAGGCATTCCCCCGAAAAACACAAACAGATCGTGCACAAATGGTGCACTATTCTCAACCTATCAGTAAAGAAGTTGGCGAAAATGAAGGAAATAAGTATGGGAGAAGTCCGAACCGCCACCGGGAAGTTCGTTGAAGAAGTTACCTTGGAGGACACATTGAAATCTGGCCGTAAACCGGAACCGGTGGACCGAAAACTGAACCGGAAGATCACCCAAGCTTTCGTCAATAAGAAAAATGCCTCTGTTCGGAGATTTGGCTAACAAACTGAGAACGTCCAAGAGTTACGTCCAACGTGCAATGGCAAGAAACGGACTGAAAACGTTCAAGAAGCAGAAGAAGCTGAAACGGAGTCAGAAACAAGCCGCATCTGTCAAACCGAGGGCTCGGAAGCTATATGATAGCCTGCTGTGTGAAAAATTGGCGTGTGTTATCATGGACCATGAAACTTATGTCTAATTTGACTACACAAGACGCTTCCGGGAGAGCAATAAAACACACAATCCTTGATGGTCAGGAAGTTGACGATGCCGATAAGTTCATTTTTACCGAAAAATTTGGAAAGAAGGCCATGGTTTGGTAAGCGATATGTAAGTGTGGCAAGTTGTCAAAGCCATTTGCGACGAAGGAGACGATGCACCGAGACAATGAACACTGAAATGTACGTTCGGGAGTGTTGGAATCGGCATCTGTGGCCGATGATCCGTTAACATGATGGCCCAGTACTATTTCGGTCCGATTTGGCGTCAATGCACTACTTAAAAGACACGGTAGCTTGGTACAAACTATACAATGTGCAATACGTGCCCAAAGAGATGAATCCTCCGAATTGCTCGGAGGCCGGGCTAATCGAAACTTTTTGACTTGGTTTGCGTCTCACCTCGTTTGACAGATCTGATCGCCCGTTTGCCTGATCGAATCGCTCATTTGACAAATCGTATTGCGGGTAAACGAAATGGTCCAGTGGCATGTCGGTTCGTCGGTGCTTATACTTTCTAGGACACCCTATAAAAGGATTGCTGAAGTTACACAAGTGCAAACTTTTAAAAGTTCTTTTAGGTGCTCAATGTGACACAAATCCTGCAGTTCTTGTGGCCATTGAAGTTGGGATAGTTTTCAGAGTATCTGAATTTCTTGCCGTTCCCTGTAATGACTGGTAGAATTTAGAAGTTCTCAGTGCATTTTTTTTTTTAAATTATAAGGGTTCGTTCGAATTTCAGAAGTCCGGAAGTTAAATAGGTTTTTGAATATTCGCGAAGTATCGATCTTCCTAGCAAGTTCCATAGGTCACTGGAGCTTTGGAGAAGTTTCAGAAGTAGTAAGGGTTACCGCTGTTCCTGTAGTCGTAGTATAGCATAATTTTTCCAAAATTTTAAGAGTTGCTGGCGATCGGGAAGTGCCTGGAGTTCTAAGCATCACTGGATGTTTTGAAAATTTCCAGAATACCGGAATAGTGTGGAGTTCTACGGATTGCTGGGTTTATAAAAGTCCATAGTTCTTATATTATCACCAGGGTCCTACACTTCATGTGGACATGGAAGTTTGGAAAGTTTTTGGAAGTTCTAAGGGTTACTGAAAATCGAGAAAAACCTGGATATTTTGAAAGTTCTCAGAGTGCTAGAATTTAAAGGATCTGAAGTTTCATAAGTTTCCAACATTTTTAAAGTTCTTGCAGTTGTTGTTCTCAGGAGGGGCTGCTGGAAGTTCCTGGAGTTCTGACAGTTTTAACTGTTGCTGAAGAGTCAAAAGCTTCTATAAAGCTTTTTGACGTTTAATCGGCGCACACTACTGCACCATTTAAATCGAACGAGTGCGAGCAAGAGGGAAACAGATTAGTGGGAAAACAAACCGTGCATTCATCCATGTGTGCTAGATAGAGAAAGACGATTAAACGTCAAATAGGTCTATAGTTCTAAGGGCGTCACAGGTCTTATGGTTGTAGGTACCACAATGTATAGGTGTTCCCAAGAGTTCTAAGTATTGCTAAACATCGAAAGTTTTCTAGAGTTCTGAGAACTGCTGAAAGTTTTGATTCTGGATGAGAGCGTAACGGAATTTCTTAAATTCTTGGAGTTCCTATAAGAGTTCTGCGGGTTGCTGGACTTCCAGATGTCCTTGAAGAAGTTTTGGAAGCTCTAAGTGTATTGGATTTCTTTTTTGAAATTCTAAGGCTTTGTTCAAGTTCCTGAAGTTCAGGAGTTCTGCAGGAAATTTTGCAACTTCTCAGAGAATCGGTCTTCCCAGAAGTTCTAATGGTCGCTGGAACTAAATGAGTTTTATAGGCTATCACTGTCCTGTAACCGAAGAGCACCAACATTTCTTAGCATTCCAAAGAGTTCGTGCTGGGGTTGCTGGAGATCGAAAAGTACCTGCAGTTCAGAGCTTCGTGGGATGTTTTGAAAATTAACGAGCGCCGGAATGTTTTGAAAGTCAGAAGATAAGTCTCTAGAGTTTTGTTCTGGGAGTGCATCAGTTCTTGTGAGCGTGGAAGTTTGGAACATTCTCAGAGTACATGTAATATTTGTTAAAGTTTGAGTTCCAAGAGTTGCTGGAGTTCTGCAAGTTCTTACGTTTCTTAATGATTCGTAATTTCTATTGTTCTTTTGATCATTGTACGTTTTTGAGTGTACCGTGCGGGACCGAAATTTGTACATCTCATAGAGAAAGTAAGTGTTACTGGACATTCAAAAGTTCCTGCTGTTTATGCAGTTGGAAGTATCGAATATTCCAGAAGTTCTTAGAGTTCAGAGTATGAGAAGTACTGGCAGTATTTAGAGTTCTTTAGAATTCCCTGAATTGCGACAAACAAGTACGGATATTCCTGCAACTCCAGAGGCTTGTACAACTTCAAGAACTCCTGAAACAGCGAGAATGAACGTCTGCAAGGGACCGCTATGGAAAGCATTTCAGAGGATCTTAAAAATTACCTGGGGCTCCGATGAAACTTCCAGTACTACAGAAAATGCTGGAATTTCCATAACGTTTCGAAACTATTGGGGCTTCGGTTTTCTTGGAGTTGGCAACTCCGGTAGTTGTAGAAGTATCAAGAGTTCATGAAGGTCCAAAAGCTTCTGATGCACCGGGGGTTTCGGAAGTTTCGTCTTGATCATAGTTTGACAGCCGAAAACGACCTTCGAATTCAGAAATAACATTACGCAATCTATTTTTTCACATTTTATTCAAGAAAATCATCAATTAACGATCGTTTCCTATATTGCTAAAATTATGTGGAATTTAAAAAAATACAAACGATGACAGATAAACAGAAAGGTACACGTGTAGAATATCCGCACGTTAGGACAACCGATAGAGCATCTTCCTCTGCATTCGGTGCTGCAACTCTCCCCGCCGAATCATGGTGTGAATGACCTTCAGGACTGCCCGTTCCGGATACTTTTGCCTGGAAAAGTCCTGAATGATGTTCTGCTCGGAGACCTGCGATCCGATGGCAAAACGTCGCTTCAGCTGCTTCTCAATTCGGTTCAACATTTCCGTGTCTTCTTCCGTGGTGAATCCCTCCGCACCGGCCAACGACCCAGACATGGCCGCATCCAGTGTGGACACCTGGAACAGACGGAGCGCTTCCGTTACGTGAGCTTCCGTTGCGAACGGTTGCAGTTGCATTTTGGCAAGGGACTCCGAAATACGGATGATGGCTTCCAGCTGGCGGACGGTGATTGGGATGGATAGGCGCTTGTCTGCCAGACGTTCATGCTCGCCAGCGCCACTCCGCATCAGCACGTACCGGGACTTCAGCTTTTCCGCTGCTTCTTCATTCAATCGAGGACCGCAGTGGGTTCGGCAGTAGTTGATGTACTTTTTGAACACAGCCAAAGGCACTTCGCCTTCCTGCGTTTCCAGGGTAGCTTTGTTGGCATTCATGTGGACATTCATGACGTGCTTGGCCATGATGATATCTCGGGCCTGATCGTGGACGTCCTTCACGATGAAGATCATATCGAAACGAGACAATATCGTTGGCATAAAATCAATGTTCTCCTCACCCTTCGTATCGTCCCAACGACCGAAGATTGAATTGGCAGCAGCCAGGACGGAACAGCGAGAGTTCAGAGTAGTTGTAATTCCGGCCTTGGCGATAGAAATGGTCTGTTGTTCCATGGCTTCGTGAATGGCGACACGGTCATCTTCCTTCATCTTATCGAACTCGTCAATACAGACAACTCCTCCATCTGCCAAAACCATGGCACCACCTTCCATAACGAAGTTGCGTGTTGCAGGATCCCGAATAACGGACGCAGTCAAACCGGCGGCACTGGATCCCTTGCCAGAAGTGTAAACCGCAATCGGAGATACCTTTTCCACAAACTTCAGAAGCTGCGACTTGGCAGTACCAGGATCTCCCAGCAATAGGGTATTTATGTCACCTCTCCGGTTCAATCCGTCGGGCATGCGCTTTCGCGATCCTCCAAACAGCAAACAAACGATGGCTTTTTTAATATCCTGCGATCCGAAGATGCTCGGGGCTAAACTTTCCGACAAACTGTCGTAAATGTTCGGATTGGCAGCCATCTTACGGAACGTCGATTCCTCCTCGGTGGTAATGTTGGTGAATCGCGAGATAGAACCCATACCCTCGCTGTCCACGGTAATACCGACTACCCTCATGTAGGGAGCACGAACTCCAATGATGGCCTTCTCACGTCCATCCTGTCTGCTCGGTTTTCCAATCTTGCGGATCGAAAATATACCATGAATGAGAACTCGATTTCCTGGGACCACCCGTTCGCACAGGCTCCGATCGCAGAACAGTTGCATGTGCCGAGGAATCTCACCCTGCGGAATGAAATCCGGCAACTCCTGCATTTTCAGCACCTGGAAATCAACGCATTTACATTTATCCGGCATGATAAAATACGGATCCATTGGGCACTTTGGACGCCCAGCCTGTTCGGTGTTACACTTCCTCGGTAGCTGATAGCCCTCCAGTCCCGGATTGACCGGCAGATTTGGAATCACATTGCTACACGACCGGCACTGTATGGAAATCTTGGTCGCCTTTGCTTTGATACCCGACGCAGCAATGATGATGCCGGCAACCTTCACCAACCGCGAAACACATTCCGATTTCATGTCACGAATATTCGTGGGATTTGAACCGGAAGTAAGCAGAATTTGAATGTCATGTACGTGCTCCTCGTCTTCCGGTCTTGGGGAGGTAATCTCATCCGCAACTTCACGAGCCGCTTCTTCAAAAATCTGCAGGTGTTCCGTCGGTTGTTTGTACAGCTTATCCGCCAGCGTTTCATCGAAGCCTGCGAGGTCTTCGATTTCAACCTCCAGATAGAAGCGTCCCAGCAGATAGTTCCGCTTCAAGGTGTCTCTGTCGAAATTGATTTACAATTACTATTTGCCACTACTTATCATGATTGGAATACTCACCGATACTTATAACTGAAATTGGCCTCGCAGAAGGTCCGGATGAACTCCCGGTACTTCTTCTTCAGCTGCTGCAAATTAATCTGGTTCGAGTTCTGCTGCTGCTGCCCATCGTCGCCGAAGTTGTCGGAGAAAAATACACCAACATCGTCGAATCCGTCCATGGTATTTCACGCTCGGCAAATAGTTTTCGCACAAAGGAACACAAAATTGAACAGATTGCACTATTTAACAGGTAATTGTAGATATTTTAACAAAATACTCCAGCCACACACGAAACACGATTTCAACATCCAACCAATCTCACTGTAAGTGCGCGCTTGCTCTCCACCGGGCTCTTGGATTGTTTGCGTTATTTTGGCGCGCAACCGAAATGTCATCGGCCGATTTGGAGGAAGTGAAAACAGCCGATTTGTCGATTGACGGCTACTCTGCAGAGTATAAAGGCCGGCGCACAATATTCTACCATCAATTGAAAAGGGCCTATCGGCTTTTGCAAAAACAACTTCGTACACCGTTGAAATATTATGTAACGCAAAAAAAGTTGATTTTTTAATACATCCCACCCTCATGTCACGCACTTTTTCTATACTCAATACATGGTGATTAACATATTTCCAGACTACCTCACCCCCTCTTGCATTACATAACATTGAATGAACCCTTAGGCTGTGTTCCATTTGGTGAATTTTCTCTTAAATTTGACAAATGCATAATTTTCAAATTAACCTAATTCTGTACCCAACAGGGGGTAAGTCACTCTGCCACATTCCCGCATAAACAATAACCATAAGATGCGCCTAACCACCAATTCGGGATATCATCCCAATTTTATGTGGTATGGTCGCACCATCTAAGATATCGTCAGTATATGGTACACGTTTATTAGGGTTGTGCTAACACCCACAGAAACACACTTCGACACACTTCAAACACCCTTCCACCAGCTTCCACCCGTATGATAAGCACATTTTTATTCAATTCTGGCACCAATAAAAATAATGTTTACATTCGATTATTATTTTGTTGTTGTTGTTTACAGTTACAACGATTCGACCCCAGATTGGTACGATTGAGTACAAGGATTATGGGCAAATCTCGATACCGTCGGAAGTGATATAGACCTTTTTGACGTTTAATCATCTTTCTCTATCTAGCACACATGGATGAATGGACGGTTTGTTTTCCCACTAATCTGTTTCCCTCTTGCTTGCACTCGTTCGCTTTAAATGATACAGTAGTGTGCACCGATTAAACGTCAGAAAGCTCTATAGTAATGGATTTTCGGGACACCACAGGACAACACTTGAATGTGGATTTGCCCCGAAGGTCTCTGCTCGTAATGTCTGGCGAAAGTCGATACGGATGGAATAACGCTGAGAAAGATGGATACGGTAAGGTTGAATGACAGCCTAACAATTAGGAAACGTGAATAAAGAGTATCGTTTACGTTCAGAAAGTTGAATGACGGCCCTTGCCGTTGCCAGTTTAGTTCTCTGTGTGATACGTATCAACAAGAAGCGAATGATAGATCTGATCGTATCAAAGAGAACGCTGCCCAATTGGAGCTGGAGGCACTCGCCGTGGCCAAGGTTCTTGGAATCGCTTAGTAACGGGTCCGTCCTGCTGAACATTGGATGCGGTAATGGTAAATACCTGGGGTTGAATCCTCAGATCATTGGCTCGGGCTGCGATCGGAACGACGGATTATTGAAAGTTTGCACCGCCCGTGGCTTCATTTGTGGTACAATTCGACTGCCTAGCATTACCTTTTAAAGCGGCATGTGCGGATGCTTGCATCTGCATAGCCGTTATGCATCAAATGTATCAAATTTTGCCTGTTACTTTGAACAACGGAAAAGACAGTTTAAAAACTCACGTATTTTTCGATTCAGGTTCATCGGTAAGCTTAATTCATAATAGCGTAGTTGAATGATTGAATATTTCAGGATTTAATAAGCCTATGACTATAGCTTGGACAAACGGAGAGGTCCAAGAAGAAACTAAGAGTATGACCGTTCAAGTACATATCAAAGGTGAAAACGAGAAATCGTTTTTGCTTAAGGATTTACGTACAATTAATGAACTGGCTTTACCCATGCAATCTATTGATTCAAAACAAATACAAGAACAGTTCCCATATCTAAAGGGAATAGAACTGCAATCTTACGATAAGGCAGTCCCAACGATATTATTAGGATTACCACATGCATATCTCTTTAAGGGTATTGAAGAAAGATCGCGTGGATTTTCTGAACCTATTGCCAAGAAAACAAAGTTGGGATGGGTTATATTCGGTACCAGCCGAAATAACACCGAAAACAAAAATCATGTGTTTGTAATGAATGAGGTGAATGAAGAAGAAAAAACAATGAAGGAGATAATGGCAGATTACTTCTCTACAGAAGCCTTTGGCGTAAAGGTACCTCAGAGCGAATTAATATCAAAATTAGACGAACGCGCTCTAAAAATTATGCAAGAAACATGGAAACCAACTGATAAGGGTTACGAAATCGGTCTCTTGTGGAAAAATGATAAGGTCGAATTTCCAAATAGTTTTTCTACGGCTCTGAATCGCTTTCTGTTATTAGAAAAGAAATTAGAGAAGGATTCTTCTTTAAAAGAATGGTATAGTACACAAATTGATGAGTATGTAAGGAAAGGATATCTTAAAAAGTTAAGTCCTGATGAGTATATGATTGAGACTGCGAGAACCTTTTACATACCTCATTTTATAACTATCAACCAAAGTAAACAACCGCCTAAACCAAGAATGGTATTTGATGCGGCAACTAAGATTGATGGAGTTTCTTTAAATTCACAATTATTAGCAGGACCTGACATGACAGAGTCAGCTCTTGATATAAAGATGAGATTTAGAGAAGGTCCAATAGCAATAACCGGGGATATTCAGGAGGCCTTCCATCAGGTGAAAATCAGAAAAGAAGATCGAGAATCACAAAGAATGGTATCTCGAAAGCAACCTAATACAAGATTGGACATCTATGAAATGCAAGTAATGACCTTTGGAGCTACTTGCTCACCAGCTTGTATGCAATTTGTCAAGAATGAAAATGCTAAACAATTCATAAATGAAAGACCTAAAGCAGTTGAGGCTATAATTAAAAATCACTATGTAGATGATTATTTAGACAGCTTCAACGAAGTAAAAGAAGCTGTAAAAACTGTATCAGACATCATTCAGATACATGATAAAGCTAACTTCCGAATAAGGAATTTTATATCAAATTCGAAGTCCTGCTTGAAGCAATTACCAAATGATAGAATCTCTCCAATAAAGGAAGTGAAACTGGATGATAACGAAAATGTATATGAAAAGGTCCTGGGTATGTATTGGGACACGCAAAACGATAAACTTACATTTAAAATCAACATTCCCAATTTAGTAATGTTGGAACCGACAAAAAGACAAGTGTTGTCTTTTATTATGAGTGTGTATGATCCTCTTGGGTTAATCGCACATATAACAATCGAATCTAAAATAATAATGCAAGATTTATGGCGACGTGGTATAGACTGGGATGATAAAATTCCCGATGACATAAATAAGACTTGGCAAACCTGGATTAATAGATTGTCTTCCTTATCTAAGATAAAAATCCCAAGATGTTACTCTTATTTTAAAGGCGTGATACGTCGAGAACTTCATGTTTTTTGCGACGCCTCACTGAACGCTTTCGCTACTGTTATATATATGAGAACAGTAAGCAAAGACGGCATTGATGTAACGATTGTTGCTGCCAAATCAAAGGTTGCTCCCACGAAAATAATGTCAATACCTCGTTTAGAACTACAAGCTGCTGTATTAGGGACAAGATTATCTAATACAGTACAGAGAGCATTAAGACTACAAATAGACCAGGTTATATACTGGTCCGATTCAAAAACAGTCATAAGTTGGATCAAATCTGAATTAAGAAAGTTCAAACAATTCGTTCAATACCGTGTTAGTGAAATCCTCGAAAGCACCGTTGAATCACAATGGAAATATATTAGTTCAGCAGCAAACCCGGAATAAAATTCCTTTATAGCGACAACGGTACTAATTTTGTAGGAGCTGACAATGAACTAAAAAAGATTCAGCACAGACTTGCGTCAAGAGGAATTGAATGGCATTTCAACCCTCCATCATCTCCACACTTTGGTGGAGCATGGGAAAGGTTGGTTCAAGAAGTTAAAAGTCTTTTACCAAATCAAACTATGCCAGAACACACATTCCGTGCGTTATTAACAGAAATCGAAAATATAATAAATAGTAGACCTTTGACGAAAATATCTTTAGATGCCACGGATGACGAACCACTCACTCCAAACCACTTCCTAATTGGTTGTGCCGGCGGTGCCGAACCATCATTGAATGATGTGTCGAAGGCAGAGGCCACTAGACAACAATGGAAGAAAGTGCAGTCTATGGCTAAAACTTACTGGGATAGGTGGTTACACGAATACCTTCTTCATTAGCCAAAAGATCAAAATGGTCGGAAGCTGTGAAAAATGTAAAGGAAGGAGACATCGTTATGATTGCTGAAGATGATCAAAAGGCAAAGTGGAAAAAGGGAGTTGTTTTGAAAACACATGTAGGCAAGGATGGTCAGGTAAGATCGGCTGTTGTGAAAACAGCCTCTGGAGAATACACTCGACCAGTAGTCAAATTGGCTATTATGGATGTTGAGCCGCCAGGAGAAGCTTCTTCAAATGAAGACAATAAAAAAGAACAAGTAGCATCAAAACGGGTGTTGAAACACCAAGATGTTGAAACTATCATTAAAAAAGATTGCTTTGTGGGAATGATACACAAAGTAAATGACGAAACACTCGCGGAATAACGATCATATATAAGTAAACCTAGAAGGATTTACGGGCTCCGGAATGTTACCGCGAGGCAATTAATTTAAAACCAAAACCATAAGATAACCACATAGTTGCATCCCGTTTGCATAGCCCTAGCTGACGTTGATACCAAGGCCAAGAATATGAAATGAAAAGTAGGGCAAAAGGAGCGAGAGCTCGTTTTACATAATCTAACTGCAGTATTTACTTAGGAACGTTTCTGCGTTCAAGTAGGATAAACACGCCCACGCATGGCATGCTTGCGCATCTAGGTTACGTTTAGCTTTCCCTCTCTGTTTATCCTTAACGAAGGATATAATTATAATGTTTAAACGTTACAAATGTCTCATTCTTATTTGTAGAGCCATATCAGATCTGAGTTACAAAAAGAAATAAACTTACAAGATAACCCGAGAAATCCCAGATCTGAGAGGGCATAGTATATAAGATCCAAATAACACAAATTTACCCTTTCAAGGGCGATCGAAATCCTAGCTAATAGAATAGGCAAAATTAGGTCAAAAGTCCGGTATTGAAAGGGATATGTAAAACCCTGGACAAATCATGTAAAAGTTTTACATAATTATAAGTTGCTAATGCAACACGTAGCCGTAAGATCACTTTGTACAATTTTGTTGAATAAAATTAAGTTTCATAGGTTACTCCAGATTCTTCTCTTTTTTTGAATCCGAAAGAACTTTCGGCCTAGAAGTGAAAACTTCTCTCCTTAACCGGGGAAAAAAGTAGCTCCTAGAATCGAGAAACAGTGTCTAACCTGAAAGCGAAAGACTCTCCCTAACCGGAGAAGAAAGTAGCTTTTGGCGGCGACAACGCTGTTATCAATCAAATCGAATTTGTTGAAAGCTGTTACTTACTGGTTGAACTGCCCCGTAACGTGAGTAGATCACCTTTTCGTGGTACGTTACGGGATGTAAGATCTACCACCGATTCCTAGTCCTGATTTCTTCAAACTAGGGGAACAGGTTTTTTTTCAGTAATCAAAGGAACACATCTTAGTCCTTGTTACTTTTTATGTCTTGTTGATAGTGATAAGTCCTCGGGTTGCCTGGACCGAGGATGATCTTGAAACAAGGAAAAAATGAGTTAGTTAGTATTCACCTATGTATGTGATTCCTAATCTTCTATTCGTTGTTCCCTAGTTTAAAGTGGTTAAGACTAGGGTTCTGATGCATGGTCATTATCGGTTTCATAGCTTGTTTTTGTTGTTAAGGAATCCAATTTTGACTGACAAAGGGGCGCGTCTTTGGAGGGTGTTTCGACACTCCGAAGGGTATAAATAGCGGAACCTTTCAGTTAGAATCGATTCCGTGCGATGAAGGCAAGAATGACAACTGTATCAAAACCGAATACTTCATCATTTCTCAATAGTGATGGAGTAAAACGACATGCACTAAACTAAGGACACGGGATATACTACAATAGATCAAATTACTGATCGCAGTGGTGTTATGTCCCGAACAGAGGAAAAAAAAAACTGGTTGAACTCTACAGCTTGATCCGTTTCCTGGTGGCTTCCTTCGTAATAAAGTCCTTCAGAATCTAAATGGTAGAAATGTTGTCGCTTCTGAAATTCGCTTCCGCCTAGCCGTATTCACAAATCAGAAGACGATGAAGACGTGACGGGAAACGAGCCTATTCCTTTCGTTTCCATAAATATTTTTCGGTATTTCCAGGATACTGCTCATAAACCAGTTGTGCATTTCAGCCTGACTCAAGGCGCCCTTGAGAGTGAGCACTTCATCAGGCGTCAGGTTAGGCGCCCATTTCGTCTTCCTCCTCAAGTGCGAGGGCCAATGCTCGTTTTATGAATTAATCTGCACACAAACAACAGCAAAGGAGTCGCAGGAGGATCTGTAAATAGTAAATAGTGCCAGTAAATATATTTTTTCGGTTGAAGTTTTGACAGCTTGGTCAACACGATGAAACATATTCCGACACCCAAAAACACACTGGTAACACAATAAGCACATACACAAAGTGGCAAAGTGACTTACCCGCTGCGCCTAGCCTTCTTGATTCGTGCATCTATGTCGCTCTTGGTCCCACCGTCCGACGTTATTTGGCTGTCAAGATATTGGAAACTTTCGACCTTCTCCACTGCATGCCCCGCTACCGTAAAGTTGGAAGGGTTGCCCATGTTGACATCCAACGATTTGGTCTTGTTGACGTTGATGGTGAGACCCGGCGCAGATGAGCGTTCGGTTAGGTAATTGAGCTTACTTTGCATATCAGAGGGCCGTTGTGCTAATAACGCAACATCATCAGCCAAATCGAAGTCGTTAAGATGCTCCATGGTGATAGCAACAATCAATACGAAACTAACGATTTTTAATTGGCTCACCACTTTAGTAGCCTATTGGTCCCAAGCAAACGATTAACGTACCCTATTCTAGTTGAAATTCTATTACTACACTATGTTTGTTTTGATTCGCTATGAAAGTTTGACAGATAACATCAGGGGTGTGTGGATTCATGCGGAACATGCAGGGGTGAGTGAAATAGCTTGGGACTGCTTGGGACCGTTGTTCTGGTACTGAGTGAGCCAAAAATAATAATGATTTTCTTCGGGACCCAGTGGTCTTAGAGTTACCTCTATGGTGATAGTATACATCCTTGTCTCACACCAGCGACTAACCGGATAGGGTCAGACAAGGCTCCGTTATGCAGAACTCTGCACGCGTCTCAGGTCTCAATCAGATTCTCGTGATTGAGTCGGCCGAAAGCTTTTTCGTAGTCAATGAATACCAAATAAAGGGACTCTTGGAATTCATTGACCTGCTCCAGGATGATGCGGAGCGTGAAAGAGCTGCCAGGTGGTTTTATAAAAAATCTGTATCCACCGAGGTATCCACTCTATTAAAAAATCTGTATTTTCTGTATTGACGATTTTTTTCTTAATTAATCATGTTTTGTTGTTTTACAAATACAGTGCATACTATCGGGCTATCGTACTAACCATACGGGATATAATTGCGCCATTTGTAATATCGTCCGTACTCATTTATAAGAGTGATATGAAGCCGTTTGAAAATGTATGGAGATTTTAGTTTCTATTCATTATCTTCCTGATAAGCAGTTTTAAATGCAAAAAAGTGCACGAGTTCATTACTATTTGATATTTTTAATATAGATGAATACAATTAATTACATCATTTGTGTGGTAGTTACACCGAAAAGTCGAGAGATGTCGCCCCGCCAGTGCTGGTAAAATCATTTTTGCAGTATGGAGAATATCAGAAAATCCGCAATTTCTTACGAAATACATTTTCAATGCAAGTAAAATGTTTACGAGTACTTGTATTTGTACCATTTTAATGTGCTCGGGCACTTTTCTTGTATTTAACATACATGCTTATATTGGAAATATTCAATTAATACTGTAAATCCCCATAATCCACATGTAAAGCACAACAATTAATTTTGGAGAGAAGGGGGTACGCTGATAAAATCGAGCAAGTTATTTTGTTTTTATAAACTTTGAATTTTTTTTTCTCAAATGGCAGCGCTGGCGTGAAGGCCGGCGCAATGAATAAGTTTTCTGGTTTTTTGACAGTTAGCCCATGCATTATCTGTTTAAACATTATCATTATCATTAAAAACAGGTAACACATTAGAAATACCAGAGGAAGAGATGGGCGGAGAAAACAAAATACAATTCGGCAGCAGGGATTTGTACCTAAATAATCTTGAATAAAATAATTGATTGCATCGCAATATTTTGCACCTTTCTTGGTGCCATTAATTAACCAACTAAGATTAATTAATCAATAGAGTTAGAATATTGTTTTTTATTCCAAAAACTAGTTGAATTTGAGAAGCCCATCTTTGAGTATTTCTTCTTTCCCCGATCCGATGAAGGTGTTGGTTTGCGTAAGCGGCTTTCGTTTTGTGAGGAAAAGGCTTTAGAATGGTTTGTTTAAAAATGCTTATGGGCCCTTATCTATTGTTGATCCAGAATGTCGTCTCTTTCTGCGGGATTCAGCCTCTTTAGGCTGTGAACCATTTGTCGAGTTAAATTAAACTCGTGGTTGTGACATTGCGAAAGTTATTTCTTATGTTCGAAAATCCCTGTGCTACCGATCGATCGGTTTCCGACCAGAACTCAGCCACGGTTGTCAAAATTTAACTTCTTGTCTGTCAGAAATAACCTCGCTCGGATAGCAGGGTCAATCGATAACTTTCCATCTGTCAAAATTTAACCAAAAGTAAAATAATCCACCGAATGGTTCAGAGTCTTAGTTTTTAGATCTATATTTTCCCACCGTGCATAGCGTCGAGGTCAGCCCTTTTTCCCGTTGCCTCGTGCTTCCTCCAGCACAGTCGGCGCCACTGGCTAGCTAGAACACCGCACGCCGCCCTGCCCATCTGTTTTGGCAATCAACTACGTGTCATCGTCATCGCGTTTTGCCGACCGACCAACACTCTTTTTTTTCCATTCCAGAAGTGACTGCGGTGTTCGTCTCGCCGTTTCGAGACCGGACAGTGAAAAAAGTGCAATTTTCGGGCAGGAAAATGACCATCTAAACTGGTCATAAGTGGTAGGAGACTACAGTGATTCGGTGTGACTGAATTAAAGCGCTGCCGGAAGCGTAAGCCGGTTATATTTCCGTCGGAGAAAGGAAGGCGATCGGGGGGATAAATTTTCTTCTGATTGGGTTGGAAAATCCGGAGGGGGTGCGTGGAAGGAGTAAGGAGAAAGTGTGAGGCGAAAGAATGAATCGTCCGGGGAAGATAAACTATCGTAAGACGGCCGGCTACTCGAGCCTGATAACATTCGCCGTGCTGCTGTTGGCTTGGCTATGTGGATTCTCGAGCCGGTTGTTTGCGGTGATCCGATTCGAGAGCATTATCCATGAGTTCGATCCTTGGTGAGTTGGATGTTTATTTTATACTGTCTGTTTTATGTGTTATTTTTTTGTGCTGGAAGACGAGGGGGGGGGGGGGAAGAAGAAGAAGTTGGGTTTGGATTACGTGTACCTTCCAAAGTATAGCACCGTTTGTAAACTTCGTTAATTAATGAATGAATGGGTGCTTCTGTTTGGATATGGAATGTAATGATGGCGATGAATTAATTTTCTGTTTTACTTTGCTTCCAGGTTCAACTACCGTGCCACGGCACATATGGTTGAGAATGGGTTCTACAACTTCCTGAACTGGTTCGACGAGTCGGCATGGTATCCGCTGGGTCGTATCGTCGGTGGAACCGTCTATCCCGGATTGATGATCACCTCCGGCGGTATCCATTGGCTGTTGCACATGCTGAACATTCCGGTTCATATTCGGGACATTTGTGTCTTTTTGGCACCGATCTTTAGCGGACTGACGGCCATCTCGACGTATCTTTTGACCAAGGAGCTGTGGTCAGCCGGTGCGGGTCTGTTTGCCGCTAGCTTTATTGCCATCGTTCCCGGATACATTAGTCGTTCGGTGGCCGGATCTTATGATAACGAGGGCATTGCTATCTTTGCTCTTCAGTTCACCTACTACCTCTGGGTGAAGTCTGTCAAAACTGGAAGCGTTTACTGGGCCGCATGTGCCGCGCTGTCCTATTTCTACATGGTTTCCGCCTGGGGAGGCTACGTGTTCATTATCAATCTGATTCCTCTGCACGTATTTGTCCTGCTCATCATGGGACGCTATTCGCCTCGACTGTTCACGTCGTACACAACATTCTACATTCTTGGCCTGATCCTATCGATGCAAATTCCATTCGTTGGATTCCAACCGATTCGGACGAGCGAGCACATGGCCGCATCCGGTGTGTTCCTGTTACTTTTTGCAGTGGCAGCGCTGAAACATCTGCAGACGGTACTGTCCAAGCAGGAATTCAAAAAGCTCTTCATCATCGGAGGTCTGGCGGCGGCTGGAGTCGTTTTCGCCGGTGTCGTCATGCTGACCATGCTGGGAGTGATTGCTCCCTGGAGCGGTCGTTTCTACTCGCTTTGGGATACTGGCTACGCTAAGATTCACATTCCAATCATCGCATCCGTATCGGAGCATCAACCGACGACGTGGTTCTCGTTCTTCTTCGATCTGCACATCCTGGTTTGTACGTTCCCGGTGGGTCTGTGGTACTGCATCAAGAAGATCAACGACGAACGGGTGTTTGTGGTGCTGTATGCCATCAGTGCGGTTTACTTTGCCGGTGTGATGGTTCGATTGATGCTTACGCTGACCCCGGTCGTTTGCATTTTGGCAGGAGTTGCCTTTTCCGGATTGTTGGAAGTGTTCCTGAAGGAGGACGTTGCACCGAATAATAAGGATTCCGAACAGGAGGAGGTTGCCGGCGAGACGAAGAAAATGTACGATAAGGTAAGTTTGTCGAATGAGTTAGAATTCGTTCTTAATTCGAACTTGTGCAATTTCCGATTGCAGGCAGGAAACTTGAAGCACCGTCCGAAGCATGATAGCTCGGCGCATGGAGCTCATGGCGAACAGAATGCCGGTATGGGATCTAATCTGAAGAGCATTGTGATTGTGGCTATTTTGATGCTGTTGATGATGTTCGCTGTGCATTGTACGTGGGTGACGTCGAATGCCTACAGCAGTCCCTCGATTGTGCTCGCCTTCTACAACAGCAATGATGGGTAAGTGGTCCAATAGTTTAATGACAACATCCGATTTGGTCCATCTGAATAATTTTGTCTAGTTGAGATGTCGATTTAAGGCAGTAATTGGAATTCAATTAGCACTCTATCGCCGTTTTGGTGAGCAAATTTTGAGCTGTGCTGCCTGGAAAACTCAATGAACCTTTTTTTTCGTGTTGGATATTTTTATCACTGCTACCATTACTTTGGGCTATTGTGATATATTCCTCACATTTATATTGCTTTATCAGTATGTCGTATCACTATTGTGTGAAGCGACCGACATAGACTGATCAAAAGCATTTTACCAGCCAGGTATTACATTTCGAATGAAATGTACTGACTGGGACCTGAATTACAAATATCAAAAGGGTTCTGCCATCCTCTTATCCAGAAAAATATGCCTTTTATTAAAGATTGCTGTACAAGAGCGTAGAAGGTATTCGGAATTTTCTATGTCACAAAATCGACACGTATCTTCTCGAGGTTCTCCTATCAACTTCAAGTGATATTTACATGGATAATGTTCTATTATCAAACTTTGATTAATGTGTTTTCAATGTGGCCGTATCTTTTCCCGTTCAACCTTTATTCAACCACATTCGAATTCATTTGCAGAACCCGCAACATCCTGGACGACTTCCGTGAGGCTTACTACTGGCTGTGGCAAAACACTGCTCCGGATGCCCGTGTCATGTCCTGGTGGGACTACGGCTATCAGATAGCGGGTATGGCCAATCGAACTACACTGGTGGACAACAACACGTGGAACAATAGTCACATCGCATTGGTGGGCAAGGCCATGTCCTCGCCGGAAGACAAGGCCTACGAAATTATGACCTCGCTGGACGTCGACTATGTGCTGGTGATCTTCGGAGGCGTGATCGGGTACAGCGGAGACGACATCAATAAGTTCCTGTGGATGGTGCGGATCGCCGAAGGGGAGCACCCGAAGGACATCCGCGAGAGCGATTACTTCACCGATCGGGGAGAGTTCCGAATCGATGCCGAGGGAGCGCCAGCCTTGCTGAACTGTTTGATGTACAAGTTGAGCTACTACAAATTCGGCGAGCTGAAACTGGACTACAGGTAGGGATTCATTTCGTGAAAGGAAAATCTTGGTGCTACATAACCGTTCTTCACACTTGCAGAGGTCCAGCCGGGTACGACCGCACCCGAAATGCCGTCATCGGTAACAAAGATTTCGAGCTGACCTATCTGGAGGAAGCCTATACGAGCGAGCACTGGTTGGTGCGCATCTATCGGGTGAAGAAACCGCACGAATTCAACCGGCCGTCTCTGAAACAGGACGAACGGGTCGTCCCGGCGGGTGACTTCGTGTCACGCAAGACCTCCAAGCGGAGGAAAGGTCTCATCAAGAACCGTCCGGTTGTGGTCAAGGGAAAGAGGAACAAGTAAACTCCCAGCAACCTTTTTTTTTTAGTAATACCTACTACCAACTACTACTACCAACCATTACTACTATCGACTGAGCGAGAGAAAGCAAGAGTGGTGTGTCCTTTCGTGTGATTCTATATCTGTTGTACTTCTCTGTAGACATATTTCTTGTTTGTTTTTTTACGGAACCACTATTACTGTGACACACAGCAGGTGGTAGAGGAGGGGAGAAGAGATCAATCAAGCAAGACAACCCCTCAAAGTAGGTAAGAAGGAATATAGTACGGTTTAACGTTTTCTCAAATTCCGGGGTCGAAACAACATCTGCTCTGGAAAGTTAGGGAGAAAGTGTAGAGCATTTAGTAGGCATCAGGATTTCTTCGTTTAAAAGAAGCTAATTACCTAGTTTCGATTTCCGGTCGGTTTTTCCTTTCATAACTCAGTGGAAGGCATCTTCAAGCGGTAACATTCGCATAATATGATGGGGAAGAGAAAGCCAAATTATCACCCCTATTCTGTATTCCGTTCGAAACAGATTTCCCATGCAAAAAGAAAATCGTATCGGAAATCCGTTTCGAACGGATTAGGGGATAGGATCATATATATAATAATCAAAAATTGGTGATACACAAACAACTATTGATTTACTTTTATTTTTCTATGGTTAAATTGAAAGACCCGACTCTGACGGAAAGGTAGATTATAGAAATATTACACAATCGAATCGCGTTTACCTTAGGTTAATCACTTAATCCAATTTAGAGCGGCGCACCTTTTTGTTTGTTTTGTGGGATAACAAGACCAAACCGCATCTGCTGAAGGGAGGAAATGGTAGAATGTTTATCTCATTTCGTTTGATTGTTTTACAACCAGTTCTAATTGTCCAACAGCAACCAATAGTGGAAAATCAATCGAATCCGATCGGCAGGCGGCGAGGGAAGGGTCGTGACTTTGCACCGTTTGTTGCACCATGAACCATGATGAGAATGCTAGGACAGTGTTCTTGAATACATTACCAATAATATCACGATTCCCACAATGATACAGAGATGCAGCAGGCAGCAAAAATAAAACAATAGAATATCTTGCGTGCAGGAGTGAATGTGAAGAAAACATTATGGAAATTTAAGCAGTTGCAAATGGCGAATCTAAACAATAGAAAAACACAGTTTCAGTGAAAATGCGTTGAAGGCTTTTTTGTTTGCTATCCGAACGGACCCCCGTTGGTATAGAAGAAAAACTCAGTCAGGCCCATTCTGCGCGGTGAGTGGGGAGAGGGGGGTTATTCCGAGAGTCGAAGTGACTTTTGTCACTAGTGAAGTGAGAAAAGTCACGTCGTGGTGACGTGACTCTCCATTTGATTTGCACAGAGAGTCACGTCACCACGACGTGATCTTTCTCACTTCACTAGTGACAAAAGTCACTTCGACCTGCGGAATAACCCCCGAGGTGACCAGTGCAGAGATTTGTCGTTATCATCGAAAGACTTAACGCGATATTGATAAAATTATGTTTGACATTGTCACTAGAAGAATCGATTCTCAAAAAAACCTTCGTCAATGGCAAAGGTTCACATGGCAACAAAAAGTAGAAGGGTCTGTGTCTAGGGGCACGAACGGAAGCTTGACGTAGGACCGCTAGTGGGCGGAACAAATATGTTGAGCCTTTAGTTCTTTTAATTGATCGATAATCTATTATATTAACTCTTTCCGTTTTTGAATTGGTGCCCCGTAAAAGGACCGGTTGTTTTTCGAATGGTGGCCCTGAAACAATAGTGATTATTGATACCTGTAATTCGTTTGTTTGTGACATTAAATTCCAAGTACCGATTCCGAAGACACCTAAGCCCAAAGGCCTGGAAGAATATCGTCGCATAACACTTTGCCAGGCAGTGTACAAAATGTACGCACGGTTTTTGTTAGAGCAGCTGGAACTCTTTTTAGGCGATGTTCCTAACTATCAGTTTGCATACCACCGAAACCGCTCTGCTGAAGATCAAGTTTTCATAGTAAGACAGATACTAGATGAGCGATGGAGAAAAGGTAAAGTGACATATGTTCTATCGCTGGATCTCTGTCAAGCCTTCGACCGCATAGACCTGAACCGAGTGCCAGAAGTACTTCGTGCGCTAGGAGTACCGGTGTACCTAATAAATCGAATCGTAAAGTGTTGCTTAACGGAACGCACCTCACTTCAATGGTTTGGTCAAAGAACGGAGGAATATCCCAAGGTGCGCGGAATCAAGCAAGGATGTCAAAGTTGTTTGTATACCTTTTGGATCAAGCTCTCATCCAACTACAACGCAAAATGCCGGAGTTATTGTTGGAACAATCCAGCAGCATTCGACTACCCTGTCTGCGGGTATATGCCGATGATATAATTGGATTGTTAACGCATCCATCACAGATCGAAAGACTTATAACAATCCTCACTCCTGCCTTAGAGGCGTTCGGTTTGGAACTCAATGTATCCAAAACCGAAGTTCAAATACGTGATCCATCAATAACAGTTGCTCGGGACCCCCCACACCAAGGCACTTTTGGGCGTTACAACATACGGGTGGTAACGAAGATGAGATACCTAGGGATATATCTCACAAGCTCTCTGAATCGTAGGGAGGCAGTAGCTGAAAGAATTTCAAAAGCTTTCAGAGTATATCGCAGCGTGTTGGACTTCGTTAAGAAGTTCAGGGTATGGTGGAAAACATCTGTCCGCATATATCACTCGGTAATCGCCCCTATCGTCCTGTATGGTCTAAAAGTGACAACGTTGACAAAACATAATCGAGATCGCCTTCGTGACATGGAGGCCACGATAGTATCAGACCTTTTCCACTGCTCACATGATATCGCACAAAGACGCTCAAATAACACTAAGTTTACAAAACAACATAAAAAGTGTGAACTTTAGTGGTTGACCAACGTTTCTAATGCAAAATCCTACGCTGAATTCAATGCCGTGGTCAGAAAAAATTAAAGTAGAGCCATTTTTGAGATATACAAAATTTTTGATTTTTTGAATTTTGGACAAAAGTACGATTACAAAATGTCAATATCTTTGGAACTAGTGCACCAATTTTAAATCTTTTTTTATGAAAATGAAGCTAAATAAATTTGCTATCGTTCACCAGAATATTATGTCTAAATTAAAAATTTAATTTTGAAGTCATTTAAAAATTTACAGCATTTATTTTTTATTTTTCCTGCGAATTTTCCATAAAAATCTTGTTTTAATCAACATTTTTAATGGGATAAAAAGATTCAAAAAATCATTCCATAATTTATTCTTAAAGTCTATTAAAAACTGGAGAAAATGAGCCTTTAATGGATGAAATCGGTTGGAAATTGTCGAAGTTATGAAATTTTTTTGTAAAATCTTGGAAATTGAATGTTCCAAGATTGGCCGTTGTCCCGCTCCTAGGTTCATGCACCACTTCCAGTAAGCCTTTCTGCGGACGTGTACGCATACGGTGCATTTCACTAACACTACCAGCTGTCACGCAAAATTAAATGGGATATTTTCAACAATATAATTTACGCTAGTGTTTGTGAGACCGCTCGGCGAGAACCTAACGCAACCAACTCAATTTGACAGCTTTCTTTCTTTAACATTGCTTAACGATGTATACGACAAAACGTGAATTCAAGTGTAAAAATGATCCTCAAAAGTTTTGTTACGCGTGTGGCAACTATATATTTACAAAATCGGTCAATTTCACTGCTTCGTTGCAAACTGCATACAGGCTTTATTTTAAAATTGATCCTGGAGACTTTGACGAACCGTGGATTCCAAAAGTATTATGTAGTTCGTGCAAAACGTGCTTGGCTAGGTGGATGTCAGGCGCAAGGTAAATTGATTTTTTGAATAACTTTCATATACACAATTTATGTACAGCATGGTAGTGCTTTGTTCTTTCCTGATCGACATTATCTTACTTCATCTATTTTTGATAAGTGTTAATGTCTTACTTACTAACTCACTTATTTGTTATCTGTCAGTCGCTATTTGTCCTTTGACATGCCCACCATATGGCGTCGACCGTTTTGTCATGCAACGGATTGTTATTTCTGCTTGACAAAAGTTAAGCAACAAGGACGTCACAGTTGAGTATCCACAAGTGGCTTCTATGACAAAACCTGTTCCACATTCAAGTTCGGTCCCGTATCCTGTTTATCCAAAGCGGAAACGAGCGCCCTCTGTTGAATCGACCGTTACAAAAAGTGAGGAGGAATTCAAGGAGGAATGCGAGGAAAACTTCGAGGTGGAATTGGAAAGAAACCCAAAACTGTTTACACAATCCGAATTTAATGATTTGGTGCGAGATCTCGACTTATCGAAGGAGAAATCCGAATTGCTGGCATCACGCTTGAAAGAACACAACATGCTGAGCAAGGAGGTCAAAATTTCTTGTCACAGGAATTGTCACAAGAAATTTGACAAATATTATTCTACAAAGGACAAGGCATGTTTTTGCCATGACGTAAAAGGCTTGTTTGAAGAGTTTGGTGAGCCATATGATCCAGCTGAATGGCGTTTATTCATCGATAGCAGCAAGTTGAGCTTGAAAGCCGTTTTACTGCATCAAGGGAATGAGAAACCTTCTATTCCATTAGCTCATGCCGTTAATATGAAGGAAACGTATGAATCAATGGCTCTATTGCTCAATTTGATAAATTACAATCAACACAATTGGAAAATTTGTTTCGATCTTAAAGTGGTTGCCATGTTGACTGGATGGCAACAGGGATACACAAAATATATGTGTTTTTTGTGTAAATGGGACAGTCGAGCTCGTAAGGAACACTACGTCCGAAAAGATTGGCCAAAACGGGATAATTTCACCACAGACAAACAGACATAACACTCGCAAGTTGTTCATCGCTTGTTCGTTGTTTTTTAACGGTCAATTTAAAAGTTTCATAGTTGGTAGTACCGCCACCTGTGGCACGCGTAGTCAATTCCCTTGCGTTTGACGTTTACACACTACCGCCATCTGTTCAGCGTACTACCTACCACAGTATGCTCAACAGATGGCGGTAATGTTTTAGCGACGATGTTTTACAGTGAGAAATATTCAATATGTTATGTCTGTTTGTCTGTGATTTCACAATTGGTAAAGACAACGTTAAAAATGATCCTCTTGTGGTAAAAGAACGCATAATACTTCAACCACTACATATAAAACTTGGGCTATTCAAAAATTTCGTCAAAGCGTTGCAAAAAGAAGGGCCGGCATTCCAGTACTTGAAATCAGTATTTCCAAATTTATCTGACGCAAAGATAAAGGAAGGTGTATTTGTTGGCCCACAGATCAAAAAACTGCTCAATGATTCCGCATTCAATACAGTTTTGACACCAGATGAGGAAGAAGCGTGGAAATCGTTCCAGCGTGTTGTCACAACCTTATTAGGAAATTTCAGAAGCCCAGATTATGAGGAAGCCGTCGATGAATTGCTCAAAAATTATGAGAAAATAGGTATAAATCAAAAATATTGTGTTTGTTACATATAATTAATTTCAAATCCTTTTATTTCACTGAGCACAGGTGTGAATATGTCTTTGAAGATACATTTCCTACATTCTCACATGGATTTTTTCCCGGAAAATCTTGGTGACGAGAGTGATGAGCACGGCGAACGTTTTCACCAACAAATGAAGATGATGGAACGTCGTTACCAAGTGTTTTGGGATGAAGCAATGATGGGTGACTATTGTTGGTTTCTGATTCGAGAAACAAGTTCAAAACATCGAAGACAAAGTCATTCGATTCTCAATCATTTTTAATAAAACCTAAATAAATTTCTTTTGTATCAACTCGGTTTTAAATCCTGATATGCCTTAATCAAATTTATATGTAGAGAAAAGAATCTCCCATGAAAACTTTACATGCGATTTGGATGCTTACAACGACACCTAGAAAAGGAACTCTAAAGCTGTTGTATTTCAGAAACATTTTTAAGTGTTTTACAAAAATGCTCATAACTTCGACAATTTCCAACCGATTTCATCCATTAAAGGCTCATTTTCTCCGGTTTTGAATGGACTTTAAGAATAAATTATGGAATGATTTTTTGAATCTTTTTATCCCATTAAAAATGTTGATTTTTATGGAAAATTCGCAGGAAAAATAAAAAATAAATGCTGTAAATTTTTAAATGACTTCAAAATTAAATTTTTAATT